AACCTTTGGCCGAAATTTTTGTCCATATCTTTAAAATAGTTGCCCGCTCAAAAAAAAATGTTAATTATGGCGGGCCAAAAGGCCTTTTTTGAACCTTGCATCCCTGCTCTTTTTCTCCCCATTCTTTTAAATCTCTAGCCCGCTCAATTTAACTAGGAAAAGCTCCTTTGTATTTTTTGTGTATTTTGATCCTGTCTGAAAAATGTCCTTTCTCTTCCCTATCGTTCTATCTTTGCAACCCTTTGCACGGGTTATTTTGGCCAACTAATTTTGGATTAAAATGTGCAAACACCTCCTTCTTTTTGCACATATCAACCCGAATATATAAATGGAATTTTGAGCAGTTTGGCTCAGTTTCTGAACTATTCCTTCCCCTCGATTAAAGTTAAAGTTTTAAAGTAAAGTTTTTTGAACTACATTTTTCCTCCCCCTGAAGATTTGTTATTGAAGTTTTTTATCCGTTCCTTCCCCAGTCAGATTTGAAGTTTCTCCCCCTTTTGATTTTCCTGATATATGTTTGTTAAAAGATTTGGGCCCATTTTGAAAGGAGAATATTTACTTGTTAAATTGTTAATTTTGATAATTGGAAAATAAAAGTTGTTAAAGAATTTAGTTAATTTTTGGATTTATTTAATTTAATGTATTTTCCCTCCCCTTTTATTAAAATTCTGTTTAGAATTTTACATTTAATTTTAATAATAAACGATTCCCGAAAATCGCAATTTTTATTCAAACTACATTTTCCATTGTTTGCCTACGGGCTTGAATTGTATCGGTTATAAACAACTGAGATAGATTTATGTTTAGTAAAAAAATTTAAATAATTATTTATTTTTATTAATAATTATAATTACTGTAATAATTACTCTAAAATAAGGTAAATAATAATGAAGTCTTGGGGGGGGGGGGGGGATACACTCTCTTTTTTGGCAAATAATCACTCTCATTTGGCAATATTCAATGGCTTTATTGAATTTTAAAGGGCTGATAAACATCCTATGATTGATCAGAGTGTTTCGAAATTTCGATTTCCGATTTTTTTGATGTTTGGAAAGCCAGGACTACTTTGCAAAGAAAAAGAAAAAATCTATTTTACCCGTCTCATTTTCTCTTCCTTTTCTTTTCAAGCCTACCATCTTTGCTTACTTCTTTTTCTCTAACCCATCTTTAGGGGTGTATAGCCGGAGCCGTGGGGAATTGGAAAACCTTGGCTCCGGCTCCGGGGTTTCCAAAATCTTAGCTCCGGCTCCGCCGGAGCCGGCTCCGGAGCTAGCTCACGGAGCTATACCCAGCACTGCTTCCATTCCTTTCAATTGGATTATTAGCTTTAGGAATTTCATTAGCATTAATGTTAACTAGTTTACGGCCTTCAAACAATGCTATTAAAGTAAACTAAGGGAAGATTAACTAAGGGAAGATTAAACTCAAAAGTGTCCCTTCTTTCTCGGAAACTTCTTAGAAGCTTTTTAGTTTTTAACCAATACAGATACGCTTCTACATTTAGAAACATTTTAGAAATATTAAAAAGTTTCATAGGCCTCTTACTCTCTAATTAACAGCCCTTTAAAATTTAATAAACATCCTATGATTGGCTTATTAATCATTAATTTTAAACGAGATGTATGTAAATCATATGAATTAATCAATTATAAATTTCAAAATTGCTTTAAAATAATAATTATTAAATTAATTTACAAAATTTAAATTAAAAATAATTGAGATTGTTGAATAATTCCAGAAAGTTTAGATAAAATTTGGTATATCAAAATATGTGAGAAATTCAAATTTTTTGAGAAGCAAAAATTTGTAAAACAAGAAACCCCTTAAAAAATAATAAAAATTGTAAAGTTTTTACGGTGAGACTTTAAAGTAGAGTTGATCAAAACGATACTGGTATCGGCCAACCCGAGACCGAGATTGACCGATACTCAAGAACCCGATACCGAGACCGATACCATCATTTTGAGCCGAGACCGATACCAAGAATCGATACTGACCGAGAAAAACATTTACATAAAAGGCGAATATTTTTAATTTTTTTAGATGGCCTAGAAGTCAACCTCCTTTTTCTAAGAAGGAATTGGACGAAAAAATATTGGGCAATGTTATTAAAGTAATAATTTTTTTAATTTTTTGGTTCCCACTTTTTAAGATAGCAAAATTAGATTCATAAAACATATTTTAAAAATTATTTAGTTAATACTAGGTTTATAAACTAAGGGAAGATCAAACTCAAAAATTTAACTTCTTTCTCTGACACTTTTTAAAGCCTTCAAAAAAATTTAGAAACATTAAAAAGCTTCATAGGCCTTTTACTCTGTAAATTCTGAATAATATTTTTCTTGTCTAAAATAAAATTTTATTGTAGCGAGCAGGGGTGGGCGCATTGCGTTATTTGCGTTAAATTTTGGCCCTTTTTTGCGTTTTGCGTCCAAATCTCCTGATACAACAAAATATTTTGCGGAATTAAAAACTTTGTTTGAGGGGCATGCTTCCACTGGACAAACCCCGCAAAAAATTAGAGATTGGAGATTTATAGATCGATTGGAAATTTATTAATCAAATCAAAAAGAGATTTTAATTCAGCTAAACTAAATTTATACTAAAAATAATCCAAAATTTTAAATAAAACTTGTTGAAAATTAAAGAAAAAAATTTATAATATAAATACTAATCTAAGGGAATTAAAATTGAGGAATATGGTTCTGGTCAATTTTAATGTATTTTTTGCAACTAAAATAAAGAACATTCCCCGCAATTCCGTTTGTATTTAAAAGATATTTTTTTCTCATATTAGCCATCCAATTTTTGGGTGTTTATGAAGCCAGAATTGACCAAAAAGCTAAAGATTATATAAAATTCTCCAGAAACCCCGGAAACCACGAAAAGCCGGATTTAATCAAAATACATGTTTTACCGGTTACTTGACTCGGAAAACACGGTGTCGTGCACGGGTTCGAACTCTAGTTTAAATAAAACCTTTGAAAAGTAAACAAATTGAGGAATTCGGTTAAGCCTTTTTCAACATAAATAATAACTTTTCCCATCACTTTTTTGTAGTTAAAGATTGTTGATCAAAATTTAGCTCTAGTCTAGTTTATGAGTCCAATCGAACTTTAAGTTTTATCAAAAAATAATTGAATTTTTCTTGGTGTTGCAAAATTGGCTATAACCTTCATAAATTTAAAGGGAGAGGGTAAGGGACGGTCCAAGACTTTGGGGGCGTAGGTCCCAAACATGAAGAAATGTTTTAGAACCATACTGAAACTTTGCAACCCCAAGAAAATCCAAATGCTTTTTATTGGATTTATAAATTCCGAGTGGACTCATAAACAAAAATTTACCTTTGAATACCCATGTTTGAGACCCGGAAATTAAAGAAGCCCCAAAAACCCTATGTAAACCAAAAATTTAAAAGAAAAACAATTTCAAATATCTGGGATTAGTTCCATCTTCTTTTTATCATATTTGAGTTTAGTCTTTTCGACGGTGTTTATATCCAATGTAATTTGACCATTAAACACTAATTCTTCGTTTTTGACGTTGAAACGACTCTAAAAATTAAATTAAAAATATTTTCTAGTTTTCTTTCCAACCGCATACAAAACATCGTCCTTCCCATAAAATATATTTTCACTCCAAACAACAATAAATTGAATATTTTTTATAATAACGTCGGTTGAAAATTTTTGTTTTTTGCAATCATTTAAAGCCCCAATTTCTTGTGTTCCAACAAAATCTGTTTTTCGTCTTAAATGTCCGGAAATGTATTCAACATAAATACAGTAAGATAATTCTTTTATATTTGTTACGCCAGGAGTAACACAAATGGTCATCTCGCGTTCAACCGAACCTTAAATTATATGTAAAATTAAGGAATTAATAAAGACCAAGTCCTCACAACAAGACCTAAACCGAAATAGTCACGTCAAATATCAAGAACTATTGTTCTAGAAATCTCTAACAGTTTAGCTACGATATATCGGGGAGCTCATGTTATATGAAATAAGAATTTCACAGTATTGGACTTATTTTTGAAATAATAAACAGAAAGCTCGGTAATGTTGCTTTGGCACAAAAAGTTTTCCCAACGAAGATTTAGGTTCATAATTTTGGTATGAATCATCAGATCTAACCAAACGTGGTATCATTTGACCAGGTTCAAAGAGCTCTTTCGAAAGATAATAAATTATATATCAAACAAAAACAGCTCAAAATGGTCAGGGAAACGGGAAAAAAGTGGATCAACTCCCAAACTATTACCAAAAGTTCAAACAAACCTTTTGTTTTACATGTATGTTTCTGATTTTCTTTAAAATTATTTGTTAATTTTTTCTTAATCATATAGCTAAATGTCAAATAAGAAATTCCAGCATTACATTCTCGTTGTTTTATACATCGCAAAATAAAACTATCTTTTCTTACACTGTTACTTGTGTATTTATAACATTTGTAAAAAAAAGTTTTTACAAAAAATACATGATCACCTGTAAATTAGTATATAAAGATAGTATTAATACTTAATTGGCAATACATATGTAATAAAATTAAAAATTAAGTATCAAAGTGAATGCGTACATAAATGAAAAACTTTTTTTAATTATGATAAATATTCTTTCCACTTAAACTACTTGACGGAGACCCTGAAACACGGGCCACGAAGATTTCAAAACATAAATTACTTTATTTTCAACTTTATTTTGTTTGTCTTCTTAAATTTGTAAATTACAAAATTAATAACTACCTGTAATCATTTCAGAATTTAATGAAAATCCCTGATCAAATTCACTTAAATTTAATTGAACTCCAGGAGCCAATTTAATGTTGTTAATTAATTGCTCCATATTTATTAATTCCTGTTCTTTGTATTCTCGATCTTTATATTTTCCTTTCTCTAAAGAGGTGATTTTTATTATATGTAGATTGGAGATGTTAATTGGAATGGAAATTTAAATATTATTTAAAAACCCAAATTAATGCTCGAACAGCCCAATTTTAAACTGACCTTCCTTTCTTTGATTAATCATTTCTTGTGTTACCAAAAGGTATTTTTGATTCTCGTTTTCTATTTCATTTGGATTGTTTTGTAAATTAGGCATCGAGGAAGATTCACCTTGACTTGGAATTGTTGGAAATTGTGTATAAGGATGGGGTGGGGGTTGATGATATATTGGTTGTTGATGAAGATAGGATTGAAAGTGATAGTCTTGGTTATGTATTTGTTGAGGAGGGTGTTGATGAGGGATTTGTTGAGACGATTCACCTCGACTAGGAATCATTGGAAATTGTGCATAAGAATGGTGTGGGGGCTGATGATGTATTGGTTGTTGATGAAGCGTTTGAGTTTGGTAATCTTCGTTATGCAGCATTTGTTGCGGGATTTGTTGATGAGGGTGTTGATGGTGGATTTGTTGAGTGGGAAGTTGATGAGGATTTTGTTGGTTATGTTCCCACAGATTAAGATTATCTAAACATGTTAGTTAAGTTTTATTTTATTTTCATTAATTGCTTAAAAATTTTTTCAAATTTTTTAAAATTTATTTACCATATCCATAGTTATGATAATTGATTTCCTATAATTAATTTTTTAGATATTTTTATAAAACAAAATTTAGAATTCGCGGGTTAACCGAAAATAAGAGTTAAATCAGTTAATATCCCGTCTTGACCTATAATTTTGAATAACAAACCGGAGGATTAAACCATTCTGGACTGTTATTTGGGCTATAAATTGGTTGATCGTGAAAATCTCTAATATGACGATTAAAATCATCATCATCATTGTCAGTTCCAAAACAATTAGAAAATAACAAAAGTAAAGTTAGAGCATTTAAATAAATCATTTTAAAAATGAATATTTCTAGCTAAATTTATAAAATTTTTGAAAGATTAGTAAAAATTTCCTTATAATTCTTATAACTCCAAAAAAAAACTAATTTAATTTTAATAAAAAATGATTCCAGAAAAACGCTTTTTCATTCAAACTACATTTTCCATTATTTGCCTGTCGGCTTGAATTGTATCGGTTATAAACAACTGAGATAGATTTAAGTTTAGTCAAAAATTTAAATAATTATTTATTTTTATTAATTATTATAATTACTGTAATAATTACTCTAAAATAAGGTAAATAATAAATATAAAGTGTTGAGGGGATACACTCTCATTTTTGACTTTGGGGGGGGGGGGGGGGGGATACACTCTCATTTTTGACTTTGGGGGGGGGGGGGATACACTCTCATTTTTGACTTTGGGGGGGGGGGGGATACACTCTCATTTTTGGCAATTAGACATATAGTACAAGGGCTTTACAGCCCTTTAAAATTTAATAAACATCCTATGATTGGTTTATTAATTATTAATTTTTAACGAGATGTATGTAAATCATATGAATTAATCAATTATAAATTTCAAAATTGCTTTAAAATAATAATTATTAAATTAATTTACAAAATTTTAAATTAAAAATAATTGTTGAATAATTCCAGGAAGTTTAGATAAAATTTGGAATATTATAACTAGGGATAGGTTTTATATTAAAATAAAATTGAAAAATATCGCCATAAAATATTGAAATAAAATGGCAAAATATTGACAAAAATTGCCAAAAATTAGCTAAATATTGAAACAAATTATCGTTTATTCACTAGCAAAAACTCAAAAAAAGTTGAAATTTAAAAAAGAAAATTTAATCACATTTTTAAAATTGCACATTAACTTTATAGTTCGACGTATTGGGTATTTTAACTCTCCCGGATATTTTAAAATGACGAAATGAGGATGAGACAACCAAATACTGATCCGCTTCTACTTTTATAAACATTTTAGAAACATTAAAAGGTTCATAGGCCTTTTACTCTCTAAATTCTGAATAATGTTTTTCTTGTCTAAAATAAAATTTAATTGTAGGTCCACTTACTTTCACTTATATCCTTCTTGATTAGTGTAATGCAGATGGATTAAGTCCAAAATTTTATAAAATCCTGTAAAATACAAAATATTTTACGGAATTGAAAATTTCGTTTGAGGCGCATGCTTCCACTGGATAACCCCCGCAAAAAATTAGCAATTGGAGATTTATAGATCGATTGGAACTTTATTAACTCAAATCAAAAAGAGATTTTAATTCAGCTAAACTAAATTTATACTAAAAATAATCCAAAATTTTAAATAAAAGTTGTTGAAAATAAAAGAAAGAAATTTATAATAAATTTCTTTCTGTAAAATAAATTACTAGAATATATAAAATAAATCCCCCCCCCCCCGGAAATGTCCCACTGAATAAAAACCCCGAAAATGCCACACTAGATTAATAACTAGTATAAAATTTTATGACTTTTTTTATGCAACAAATTTTCGCTGGGAAATGTTTTTGTGTTGCCCCGAGAATTGGTTAATTTCAAGGCCGAAAATGGAAAAAGAATTGGATTAGGTTGTTTATGCAAAACACAGCAAACGTTGACTCCCATGAGACGTGTGCCTCAAAACCTAGCGCGGAGTTTTATCTTTGTTAGCTCTTCGATCCCTTTAGAATGAGCTATTATTTGTACGCATTTTCACTAAGCTGCTCACATTTTTAATTTATTGTTTGACGAATTGAATATTTTCACTCAGATGAGCCTTTTGAAATGGGACGTTTTTGGGGTTTTTATTTAGTGTAGATTTTCGGGAAGGGACATTTTAGGTAAATAAAGCCCTTGAAAAATAAAAATTGAGGAATATGGTTCTGGTAATTTTGAAGTATTTTTTGCAAAAATACATTTCCGCATTTCTGTTTGTATTTAGAAGATAATTTTTCCCTCAGATTAGCCACTTGGAACCCGAAAATTTGTTGAAAACCCTTAAAATCCCTATATGAATCAAAAACTTTAAAAATAAATAAAATATCAATTCAGTATCATGCTTTTCTTCAATATGAAGTTTGTCAATTTTTAATTTCATCAATAGTCAGTATTTCTATGATACTCAAGTTTAGTTTTTCCGACGGTGTTTATATCCAATGTAATTGTACCATGAGGAACAAAATCTTCGTTTTTGACGTTGAAATGACTCTAAAAATTAAAATTAAAAATATTTTCTAGTCTTCTTTCCAACCGCGTACAAAACATCGTCTTTTCCAAAAAATATATTTTCACTCCAAACAACAATAAATTGAATATTTTCTATATACCCCTCAGTTTTAAATTTTTGTATTTTGCAATCATTTAAAGCCCCAATTTCTTGTGTTCCAACAAAATTTCTTTTTCTGGTTAAATCTCCTACAGTGTTGTATTCGATATAAATACAGTAAGATAATTCTTTTATATGTGCTGCGCCAGGAGTAACACAAATGTTCATCAATCGTTCAGACGATTCTTAAATTACATGTAAATAATGAAGGCTCCTATACAAAATATATGTTCCTTAAATCTCTACATTTCTACACCCGGCTTCCCCCCCCCCCCCCCCCCCCGGCTTCCTACGTAGGGCAAAAACTATACAAGCAAAATAAAAATCAGAACATAAATCTGAGACTGTTGCCACTCAAAAGTTTTTCCAAAGTGTTTTAATAGCCTTAAGGAATAGAGATTTTGAGGGGGCACGTGATTAAAATATGGAAAAGCATGACTAGACCAAAAAACCCCCAAAGTTTTGCGTCAGAATTGAAGAAAAAGAGTCTTGGACGTTTGAAGTAAATTAAAATTAAAAAGAGTAAAGGTGAAAACATCTTCTGGTAGGGTGGAAACACAATCGGTTGTGCTCTGGTTTGGACCCTTTCTACAATGAGCTATTCAATCTTCCATCCAATAATTCCTTCCTAGCCATTTACATAAATTCACATCTATTTTTATCTTCCTTACAGAATTGAATTTATTTTTAAAATTAATAAACAAAAATTTTTATCAAACCATTTGTTTTACATGTATGTGGCTGAGTTTCTTTAAAATTATTTGTTAAATCCTGCGATTTTTTAAACGTCATATAGGCAATTCTTCCCTTGCATCCTTTATAATTTTCCCTACATTCCCAATAGAAAGAATCATTTTTTGATCGAGTACTCGTGTATTTGAAACATTTGTAAATGCGAGTTTTGATAAAATAAATGTGATCACCTGTTATTTAGTATTTATTAGGGTGTGTCATAAGTAGAGCTCGAATTTTAGGTCGAATAAACTTAAAATAGGTACGGTAATGTCCAGCTCGCTGTACACATGTTCGCAATGTGTACAGCGAGCTTTACTTTATTTAAGGTACCCTATTCCCACTATTTATTTTAAAAATTTGTAAATTACAGACTTAAAAACTACCAGTAATTTCTTCAGAATTTAATGAAAATCCCTGATCTAATTCACTTTTATATAATTGAACTCCAGAAGCCAATTGAATGTTGTTAATTAATTGCTCCATATTTATTAATTCCTGAGGCTTGTATTCTATAACTTTATATTTTCCTCTCTCTAAATAAATAAATAATTGGATATGTACATGCCAGGGGTGGCTTTAGCCTCGTATCTCGTGTTTTTTAGAGGTCTCTATTTTGCCACGAGACACGAGATATTTCAATCTATTTTTTAAAAATGTCAAAAATTTGAGACAATTTAAGATCCTAGAATTAGGAAAAAAGGAAGAAATCCTCCACATTGGTCTTCCAAAGTTCTCAAAATTTTCGCCTGCGACGCTGAAAAAGGAAGAGAGATAAAGTAAGAGAGATTTCACGGTATCCGATATCATCAAAACAAAGTTGACAATCTCAATAATCCAATGATATCTGTTTCTTTAACTTTCCTTGATCCTTCCGAATCCCATGATATTATCCTTAACCCCCGATATCTCAATAAATACCCTAGATCATCTAAATCCCCAATGTCCTTCATAATCCACCTCTAATCATTATCCATTCAAACCCTTATATTTTCGACTTTACAATTTTAAGTATGATAATTGTGAAAAACAAATATTTAATATCTCGTATCTCATGTCTCGTGAAATCTCGTATTTTTTCGAGAGATCCAGATACCACTCAACCTTCGATAAGACTGACCTTGCTTTCTTTGATTAATCATTTCTTGTGTTACCAAAAGGTATTTTTGATTCTCGTTTTCTATTTCATTTGGATTGTTTTGTAAATTAGGCATTGAAGAAGATTCACCTTGACTTGAAATTGTTGGAAATTGTGTATAAGGATGGGGTGGGGGTTGATGATATATTGGTTGTTGATGAAACGAGGTTTGAGGGTGATAAACTTGGTTATGCATTTGTTCTGGGATTTGTTGAAATGGAAGTTGATTAGGATTATCATATTTGAGTTTAGTTTTTCTGACGGTGTTTATATCCAATGTAATTGTACCATTAGGAACAAAATCTTCGTTTTTGACGTTGAAATGACTCTAAAAATTAAAATTAAAAATATTTTTTAATTTTCTTTCCAACCGCATACAAAACATCGCCCTTCCCAAAAAATATATTTTCACTCCAAACAACAATAAATTGAATGTTTTCTATATTCCTCTCAGTTTTAAATTTCTGTAATTTGCAATCATTTAAAGCCCCAATTTCTTGTGTTCCAACAAAATCCGTTTTTTGTCTTAAATGTCCAGAAATGTATTCAACATAAATACAGTATGATAATTCTTTTATATGTGCTACACCAGGAGTAACACAAATGGTCATCTCGCGTTCAACTGAACCTAAATTATTTGTAAAATTTAGATATGTAATGAAGACAAAATATTAAAAGAAAATATTGTTGGCCCAAAATTTTATTACCTTTACCCCACTAAAGGTGGATATAAGAATTCAAATGGTCTAACTAAAACAGGAACTGTGACGGGGATTCAGTCCAGAATTCAAATCTATTGTTATCTTGTTCACAGAATTGAATTTATTTTGAAAATTATTAAACAAAAATATTTATCAAACCATTTGTTTTGCATGTATGTGGCTGAGTTTCTTTAAAATTATTTGTTAAATTATGCGGATTTTCAAAAATCAGTTTCCCTTTGCATTTTTTAGTTCCTTTCGAACATGTCCAATAAAATGAATTGTTTTTTGATCGAATACTCGTGTATTTGTAACATTTGTAAATACGAGTTTTGATAAAATAAATGTGATCACCTGTATTTACATATTTAAATAAATATTTAAAAATAATTTATAAATAAATTTCAACTTCGACTGCCTAATTTTGAAAATTGGTTCGTATTGGTTGTATTTTGTTTGTATTTTAAATTTGTAAATTACAGACTTAAAAACTACCTGTAATCATTTCAGAATTTAATGAAAATCCCGGATCAATTTTACTTTTATTTAATTGAACTCCAAGAGCTAATTGAATGTTTAATTTCTCCATATTTCTTAATTCCGGATGCTTGTATTCTATAGCTTTATATTTTCCTTTCTCTAAAGAGGTGATTTTTATTAAATGTAGATCGAAGATGTTAATATGGAATGGAAATTTAAATACCTATTATTAAAAAAAAGAAATTAATGCAGGGCTCGGATTCGTACTTTTTTGAAAATATGTACTGTTTTATCAACATTTTTGAAAAAACGAAGAAATCTGGCTTAAAGACCTCCAAAATTCTCAAAATTTGGCTTTGAGAATTTTGGCTTTGAGAATAAAAAAAATTTGGCTTTGAGAATTAATACTGTCATTTACTCATTGTGTCAGCGAATTTTGACATGCCATGCATTGAAATGCACAAAATATTCAGTGGAAACAAGAAATTATTAGAAAAGATTCATTTAGGAGGGAAATATGAAAGATTTGAGCACGAATAAATATTTTATAATTTAATTTGGAGTGTACTTTTTATTTGCAAATTTTCTCCCTATATACTTTTTAATAAAGATTTTTGTACTTATTATTGCCATTTTGTCGATCCGAGCCCTGAATTAATGCTCGAACCCAATTTTAAACTGACCTTCCTCTCTTTGATCAATCATTTCTTGTGTTACCAAAAGGTATTTTTGATTCTCGTTTTCTATTTCAGTTGGATTGTTTTGTAAATTAGGCATTGAAGAAGATTCACCTTGACTTGGAATTGTTGGAAATTGTGTATAAGGATGGGGTGGGGGTTGATGATATATTGGTTGTTGATGAAGCGAGGTTTGAGGGTCTTCGTTATGCATTTGTTGAGGAGGGTGTTGATGAGGGATTTGTTGAGAAGATTCACCTTGACTTGGAATTGTTGGAAATTGCGTATATTGTTGATGAAACGAGGTTTGAGGGTGATAGTCTTCGTTGTACATTTGTTGTGGGATTTGTTGAAGAGGGTGTTGATGGGGGATTTGTTGGTTATGTTCCCACAGATTAAAATTATCTAAACATTTTAGCTAAATTTTATTTTATTATTCATTAATTGCTTAAAAATATTTAGAATTTTTAAAAATTTAATTACCAAATCCATAGTTATGATAATTGCTTTCCTATAATTAATTTTTTAAATATTTTTATAAAACTAACTTTAGAATTCGCGGGTTAACCGAAAATAAGAATTAAGTCAGTTAATACTAACTTGTTGTGACCTATAATTTTGAATAACAAACCGGAGGATTAAACCATTCTGGACTATTATTTGGGCTATAAATTGGTTGATCGTGAAAATCTCTAATATGACGATTAAAATCATCATCATCATTTCCACTTCCAAAACATTTAGAAAATAACAAAAGAAAAGTTAGAGCATTTAAATAAATCATTTTAAAAATGAATATTTCTAGCTAAATTTATAAAATTTTTTGAGATACTAGTAAAAATTTCCTTATAATTCTTATAACTCCACAAAAAACTAATTTAATTTTAATAAAAAATGATTCCAGAAAAACGCTTTTTCATTCAAACTACATTTTCCATTATTTGAATGTCGGCTTGAATTGTATCGGTTATAAACAACTGAGATATGTAGATTTAAGTTTAGTCAAAAATTTAAATAATTATTTATTTTTATTAATTATTATAATTACTGTAATATTTACTCTAAAATAAGGTAAATAATAAATATAAAGTGTTGAGGGGATACACTCTCATTTTTGACTTTGGGGGGGGGGGGGGATACACTCTCATTTTTGACTTTAGGGGGGGATACACTCTCATTTTTGGCAAATAGACATATAGTACAAGGGCTTTACAGCCCTTTAAAATTTAATAAACATCCTATGATTGGTTTATTAATTATTAATTTTTAACGAGATGTATGTAAATCATATGAATTAATCAATTATAAATTTCAAAATTGCTTTAAAATAATAATTATTAAATTAATTTACAAAATTTTAAATTAAAAATAATTGAGATTGTTGAATAATTCCAGGTTTAGATAAAATTTGGAATATTATAACTAGGGATAGGTTTTATATTAAAATAAAATTGAAAAATATCGCCACAAAATATTGAAATAAAATGGCAAAATATTGACAAAAAATGCCAAAAATTAGCTAAATATTGAAATAAATTATCGTTTATTCACTATGTGATACAATTCAATTAAATTAATTTAAATTTGTTTATTTTTAATTTGTTTTGGCGTTCCGTTTTTAATTTATGTCCCTCCCCCTTTTTCTCTCTTTGTTGACCTTTCCATATATAAATCCTTTCCCTCTCCCCAAATGAGTTCAGTCTAAGTTCATTCATATATTTTGTTTGTTAAAAGAAAATAAATTTATTTATTTCTCTAAAATATTCTTTGGTGCTATTTTATTTGAGAATAGTTAGGACTCGTTCTTCTTTTTTATTACTTGGCGCTCCTGGTATTTGAAAGTAAGTCAATTGGCCTGGCGTCGTGGTGATTATTTTGGAAAAAGCTATTTTTTGATTCTCTGTGGGTCAAAATTTAGTTTTCGACTTTTGTTTTGGAAAATTATCCCCAGTGGATAATCAACAAATTATTAAAACCTTCTCGGTGAAGGTCAACTGGTGTTTTTTGGCTTTGGTTTTGGAAAAGTTATCCTCGGTGGGTAATCGACAATTTTTTTAAAAACCTTCTCGGTGGAGGTCACTTTGGTTTTGGCTTGTGTTTTGAAAAATTATCCTCTGTGGGTAATGTTCGATTTTCTTTAAAACCTTCTCTGTGAAGGTCATCAAATTTTTCTCACAAGATGAATAGACACCCAATCAATAATACACCATTTAGGCAATTTTGCGGACAAGTTTATATGTTTGGTCACTCCAATTACTCTTTTTCTCAACAAATGATGTACACTCCCTACTCTTTTGTGCCACCACAACAAATTCAGCCATTCGATCAAAACGTCACTTTCGATCCCGGAAACATGTCACAAGCTGACATCGAAAAATTACTTCTGGAGACTATTCCCGATTTAGATGGATCCGAAGGAAATTTTGGGATTAGAAAATTCTTTAAGAAATTCTATCTTGCTTTAGAAGACTGGCCTGAGAAGAAGAAAATTTTTGCCCTAAAATCCAAGCTGAATGGTTGAAATATTATCGTTGAATATTATGCCTTCTTTTTCTAGTCAAGTTTTTAAGCCAACAACGTACACCCTACCAGGTTGGGCGCAAGAGACAATCTCAAAAAACGCAAGATAACAAAATTGGAGAAAAAATTTTTTAAATTAAGTAGTAGCCATTTTTCAGCTAAAAATTGAAGTATCACTATAAGTCAGCGAGTCCTACTTGATTTTGAATACATGTAAGTTGGATGGGTAAAGATGTGGAGAGATATCGGAGATACAATGGATTATGAAGGATATCAGAGGACTTAGCGGTATCAAAGGTGGTTTAACGAAGTAGCGTGGGATTACGGAGATTATCGTGTATTTTGGCGGGATCAAGGAGGTTTAAAAAGATACCACGGGAGACGGATTTCGGATCAATGGCTATAAGTAGTTATGAATTGATACCGGGGATATCAGGAGATTTGGACGCAAAACGCAAAAAAATCCAAAATTTAACGCAAATAACGCAAAACGCAATGCGCCCACCCCTGCTCCCGACAATTAAATTTTATTTTAGACAAGAATAACATTATTCGAATTTAGAGAGTAGAAGGCCTATGAAGCTTTTTAATGTTTATAAAATGTTTATAAAAGTTGAAGCGGATCAGTATCTGGTTAAAAATTAAAACGCTTTTAAGAAGTTTTGAGAAATAAGCGAACTTTTGAGTTTGATCTTCCCTTATTTTATAAACCTAATATTAGACTACCAATTTTTAAAATATATTTTATGAATCTAAGAATAAAAAATATTAATTACTTTAATGGCATTGTCTAATATTTTTTCATCCAATTCCTTCTTAGAAAAGAAGAATTTGACTTCTAGGCCATCTAAAAAATTTAAAAATATGCGTCTTTTGTGTAAATGTTTTTTAACATTTAAAGTTTCGACGTAAAACTTTTTAGATTTTTGTTATTTTTTACATTTATAAGAATTATATGGAAATTTTTTGTTTTACAAATTTTTGCTTCTCAAAAAATCTAAATTTCTCATTTTTTGATATTCCAAATTTTGTCTAAACTTTCTGGAATTATTCAACAATTATTTTTAATTTAAAATTTTGTAAATTAATTTAATAATTATTATTTTAAAGCAATTTTGAAATTTATAATTGATTAATTCATATGATTTACATACATCTCGTTAAAAATTAATAATTAATAAACCAATCATAGGATGTTTATTAAATTTTAAAGGGCTGTAAAGCCAGGGCTCTCATCGACAAAATGCCACTCAAAAGTATCAAAATCTTGATAAAAAAGTATATAGGGAGAAAATTTCCAAATTTAAAGTATACTCCAAATTAAATTGGAAAATATTTATTCGTGCTAAAATCTTTTATATTTCTCTCCTAAATTAATCTTTTCTAATAATTTCTTGCTTCCACTGAGCATTTTGTGCATTTCAACGCATGACATGTCAAAAACGCTGATCAAGCAAATTACTTTCATCCATTTTCAGCGCCGCAGCGATAATTTTGAGAATTTTAGAGCTCTAGAAGCCAGATTTCTCCCATTTTCAGCGCCGCAGGCGAAAATTTTGATAACCTGGATTCGAACCCACCACACGAAATTTCTAGGTAAGCAAATTCAGTCAACCTAACCACTCAACCACCGACCTACATAATGAATGGTGAAAGAAATTATAAATAACTCTTTCCCTTTTCCTTAAAATAATTTTATTTCGAAGTAGGAGAGTGTTTTTTAAAAATAAAAGGTCTAAAAAGCCGTCTTTAGGGGTGAGTCCATCCCTGATAACTTCCGCATATAACTACACAAACACTCTTGATCCTTAAATATCGTGCCCAAATTTCACATTTTGGAGTTCAAGAAGCCAGATTTCTTCCATCTTCAGCGCCGCAGGCGAAAATCTTTTGAAATTTGGAGCCCAAGAAGACAGATTTCTTTCTTTTTCAGCGCCGCAGGCGAAAATTTTGATAATTTCGAAGGCCCAAGGCTAAAAAAATTCACTTTTTTGCCCAATCCCTTCCCCAATTTCATTCTCAATCAAATATGTTGATTTCAAAGTATATACTTTCAATAAAGTATAAATTCAATTTCTTAAGTATGGAGGTCGGTTTCAAAGTATAATACTTTCAAATAAAGCACGAATGAGAGCCCTGTGTAAAGCCCTTGTACTATATGTCTATTTGCCAAAAATGAGAGTGTATCCCCCCCTAAAGTCAAAAATGAGAGTGTATCCCCCCCCCCCCCAAAGTCAAAAATGAGAGTGTATCCCCTCAACACTTTATATTTATTATTTACCTTATTTTAGAGTAAATATTACAGTAATTATAATAATTAATAAAAATAAATAATTATTTAAATTTTTGACTAAACTTAAATCTACATATCTCAGTTGTTTATAACCGATACAATTCAAGCCGACAGGCAAATAATGGAAAATGTAGTTTGAATGAAAAAGCGTTTTTCTGGAATCGTTTATTATTAAAATTAAATTAGTTTTTTGTGGAGTTATAAGAATTATAAGGAAATTTTTACTAGTATCTCAAAAAATTTTATAAATTTAGCTAGAAATATTCATTTTTAAAATGATTTATTTAAATGCTCTAACTTTTCTTTTGTTATTTTCTAAATGCTTTGGAGCTGACAATAACGATGACAATTTTAATTTAAGAGATCTTCACGATCAACCAATTTATAGCCCAAATAATAGTCCAGAATGGTTTAATCCTCCGGTTTGTTATTTAAAATTATAAGTCACAACAATTCAGTATTAACTGACTTAACTTTTAAAAAATTATAGGAAATCAATTATCATAACTATGAATTTGGTAATTAAATTTCTAATAATTCTAAAAAATTTTAAGCAATTAATGAATAATAAAATAAAATTATACTAATCTGTTTAGATAATTTTAATTTGTGGGAGCATAACCAACAAATCCCCCATCAACACCCTCCTCAACAAATCCCTCAACAAATGTACAACGAAGATTATCACCCCCAACCCTCGACTCATCAACAACCAATATATCATCAACCCCCACACAATCCTTATACACACTATCCAACAATTCCAAGTCAAGGTGAATCTTCTTCAATGCCTAATTTACAAAACAATCCAAATGAAATAGAAAACGTGAATCAAAAATACCTTTTGGTAACACAAGAAATGATTAATCAAAGAAAGGAAGGTCAGTTTTTTCTAGGGTTCAGCTCTATCGGGATTCCGGATGGATTTGGCGATATTTTGCCGGTTTTTTGAAGGCTGGTATCGGTACCTCAATTACCGTCGGATAAGGAAGAAATCTCCCTTCTTGGACATTAAAATTGCAAAATAAAACTCGATTTTGGTGCCTCGATTAAAATTTCTTTTGAGGATTCTCTTCATTTTAACTATACATTGGTTATAAATTTGAATCACATTATCAAGTTCTCGATCAGATAATGGGTTAGGGGAATAATTTATACGGAAATTATTTTATTTATTTAGAGAAAGGAAAATATAAAGTTATAAAATACAAGCCTCAGGAATTATCAAATATGGGGAAATTAATTGGTAATATTCAATTGGATTCTGAAGTTCAATTAAATAATAGTGAAATTGATCAGGGATTTTCATTAAATTCTAAAATGATTACAGGTAGTTTTTAAGTTTGTAATTTCAAATTTAAAATACAAACAAAATAAATACAAAAAATTTTGTTTGGCCCACTAATTGGCCAAACGAAAATTCAAAAAGTAAAAAAGTTTATGTATTATACATATGTTCTTTGACGTTGTAACATATTTTTATATTTTTCGCAAAAATGCGATTTTTTATCAAAAATTCATCATTTTTGAAAAAAACTTCAAAATTTTCATTCAAAAAAATTTTTCAAAAAATTCAAAAAACTTTTTTGAACTATAATTTTACATTGAAAGCTTTGAAAAATATGAATTTTTATCGTTTTTGCTTTGCCGGTGTAATTTTTAAACGAAAAATAGAAAATATTAGTCATTTTTTGCCTTTTTGCCCATTATGTGCCTATTTTTAAGTTTTTACGAGAATCCGAGCCCTACTTAAGACACACCCTAAATAAATACTAAATAACAGGTGATCACATTTATTTTATCAAAACTCACATTTACAAATGTTTCAAATACACGACCGGTAAATCAAACCCGAATACTTTTAATTGGAGTTGCAAGGAAATACGTAAAGATTGCAAGGGAAGTCTTTCCTATATGACGTTTAACATATCACAGGATTTTACAAATAATTTTAAAGAAACTAAGAAACATACATGCAAAACAAATGGTTTGATAAACTGTTAATTAATTTTCAAAATAAATTCAATTCTGTAAAAAAGTTAACAATAGCCCGACGAGTTTTTCACTTTTATTCTTTTCCTTGTTTAATTTACTTCAAAATTTCCCTCATATTAGCCCAATTATTAGAGACATCCTTGAATCTTTTTCTTCACTCCTGACGCAGAACTTTTGGGGGTGTTCGGTCTTCGTCCAACTTTATAAATTCTTAAAATATCTACCATTAGTTGGGTAAAGGTAATAAAATTTTGGAATATTTTCTTTTTTTTTAATAATTTTAAGTGTCTTAATTTACAATAATTTAAGGTTCTGTTAAACGCGAAAAGAACATTTGTGTTACTCCCGGCATAACAAATATAAAGGAATTATCTTACTGTATTTATATTGAATACACTTCCGGACATTTAACCCGAAAAACGGATTTTGTTGGAACACAAGAAATTGGGGCCTTAAATGATTGCAAAATACAGCAATTTACAACTGATGAGAATATAGAAAATATTCAATTTATTGTTGTTTGGAGTGAAAATATATTTTTTGGGAAGGACGATGTTTTGTATGCGGTTGGAAAGAAAACTAGAAAATATTTTTAATTTTAATTTTTAGAGTCGTTTCAACGTCAAAAATGAAGATTTTGTTCCTCATGGTACAATTACATTGGATATAAACACCGTCGGAAAAACTAAACTCAAATATGCTAAAGGGAAGGGATTAATCCCAGATATTTGATATTTTTTTTGTTTTTGTTTCAAATTTTTGGTTTACACAGGGTTTTTTTGACTTCTTTTATTTTTGGGTCTCAAACATGGATATTCATATGTAAATTTTGACCAGTAATTTTTAACACGAAAAAAATGCTGGGAAAAGTTATTATTTATGTTGATAAAGGATTAAACCAATTCCTCAATTTTTTTAAATTCAAGGGTTTTATTTAAACTAGAGTTCGAACTCTAATTTAAATTTAAATTTTTATTTATTCTAAGCTTATTTTTTTATTATTTTATTAAATGACTTATTTAAAATTTTGGCTTGGGACATTTTTGAGAACTGTGTGGCGAGTAGGGGGACATTTCCGGGGAGGGGGGGGGACATTGTGGGAGCACCAATTCCTTTAAATGTATTTATTTTAAATTTGTTTCTATAATTTTCAACAAGTTTTATTTAAAATTTTGGATTATTTTCAGTATAAAATTTAGTTTAGCTGAATTAAAATCTTTTTTAATTTGTGTTAATAAATTTTCAATAGATCTATAAATCTCCAATCTCTCATTTTTTTGAGGGGTTTGTCCAGTGGAAGCATGCTCCTCAAAAAAGTTTTCTTTAATTCCGCAAAATATTTTGTATTTTACAGGGTTTTAAAAATTTTGGATCTAATTCATTTGCATTACACTAATCAAGAGGGATGTCAATGGACGGGATATATGAAAGGATAAGTGAGATAACGAGGATTAAGGTGAACTCCCTAATCCTGGATATCTCTCCAAATCACTGATATACTTTATAACCACCTTTAATCCCTCTAATCCTCTTATTTCCACAGATTACCCCTTACATCCCCAGATTGCGTTTACGGATTTTAAAACTAAAATTGCGGATGGCGGCTGCGGAAAATTTTTCAACTGCGGAAAGCCCGGGTAACAACTAGCAAATAAATTATTAGGAACGGTCATAAATTATTAGGAACGATCACACCACACTTTTGAGTAGAGCTCGACCCCGGGACGGGCCCGGGACCGGGTTTTCCGGGCCCGGTAGCCCGGAAACCGGGTATTTTGATAAAATCCGGTTTTTCCGGGCTTCCGGGTTTTCGAGGTTTTTAGCCCGGAAGCCCGGCCCGGGTCGCCTCTGAAGAATCCGGGCCCGGCCCGGGTCAACTTTCGAGTAAATTTTATAAAATATTCTAACTTTTTGTTCAATTCTGACTCCTTAAACACCCAAAAATTGAAAAATTTTCGCCTGCGGCGCTAATAAAACGAATTTATTATTCAAAGAACTTGTATTCCCTTGTCTTATCCTTAAAAATCATGGCTGGGCGTTAAAATATTGAGGATTGGGCATCCTAATGAAGGGATATTGAGGGATCAGAAGTAACTAAAAAGGATTTATCATGATTAATTAAGATTCAAGGTTTTTGTAGGGATTAAAATAGATTAGGGGTTTTAGTTGAGATATCGAGCATTGAGATATCGATGAATTGGGAATTAATAACGATATCGACATATCTAAGAGAATATTGACAGATTTAAGGAAATATTTTTTTATTTCGTTTCGATTAGAATTAATAAAATTTGTATTTCGACAGCCTATTCCAAATTGCGGATATGCTCTTTAGTCCTGCAAAATCCACCGATAATATTTAGATCCAAATTTATCCCCGATATCCGCCTTAATCCTACTAATCCACATTAACCCCATCAAATCACAGATTAAATAATTATAGATAGTATATCTGGATTTAGAGGACCATATCATCCTTGTAAATCGCTAATATTCTCTCCAGACCCGCCAAATCCACCAATATTTCCCTTAATCCATTAAATCCACATTAATATCTCTAAATCCTTTGAATAAACACGTATAGATGAAAGATGAAACCAAATTTTAATTATTTTCTATTCAAAATAAAAAAAATTTCAGCGAAAAACTAAAATTTGACCATTTTTAAAATTTTGAAAAAACCGGGTCCGGGCCCGGGTGTAAAAAAACCGGGTTTTCGAGTTTTCCGGGTTTTCGAGGTTTTAGCCCGGAAAACCCGGCCCGGGTCAACTTGGAAGAAAAAAACCCGGATACCGGGCCCGGCAAAGTGAAAATGTCGAGCTCTACTTTTGAGTTTATTCTTCCCTTAGTTTATAAACCAAGTATTAACCAAACATTTTTAAAAAATATTTTATGAATCTAAATTTGTTATTTGAAAAACAAAAACCAAAAATTAAAAAAATATTTTTTCTTTAATAGCATAGTTTGAAGTAGAGTTGGACAAGCCGAGACCGATACCGAGACCGATACCGAGATTCTCGGCTTTTTTCCAATATCGGTTTCGGTTTTTTCATTCTCGGTCTCGAAACCGATACCGATATTCTCGGTCCATTTCTCGGCGAGAAACGATACTGACTCAAAGACCCCAATTTTCTTGTATTTTTAATAAAACCTTTTAAGAAGTGTCCGAGAAAGTAGATAAACTTTTGAGCTTGAGCCTCCATTAGTTTATAAAACCAAGTATTAACCAAACAATATTTAAAATATATTTTATGGATCTAAAAATTTAAAAAATATTTTTTACTTTAATAGCATTGTCTAATATTTTTTCGTCCAATTCCTTCTTAGAAAAGAGAAATTTGACTTCTAGGCCATCTAAAAAATTTAAAAATATTCGCCTTTTAGTAAATGTTTTTCTATAATACCATTTAAAGTTTCGACCTAAAAACTTAGCAATTTTTATTATTTTTTAAGGGGTTTCTTGTTTTACAAATTTTTACTTCTCAAAAGCTTTAAATTTTTCACTTTCTGATATTCCAAATTTTATCTAAACTTTCTTGAATTATTCAACAATTATTTTTAATTTAAAATTTTGTAAATTAATTTAATAATTATTATTTTAAAGCAATTTTGAAATTTATAATTGATTAATTCATATGATTTACATACATCTCGTTTAAAATTAATAATTAATAAGCCAATCATAGGATGTTTATTAAATTTTAAAGGGCTGTTAATTAGAGAGTAAGAGGCCTATAAAACTTTTTAATATTTCTAAAATGTTTCTAAATGTAGAAGCGTATCAGTATTTGGTTAAAAACTAAAAAGCTTTTAAGAAGTGTAAGCAAAAGAAGGTCATCAAAAAACATCAAAAAAATCGAAAATTCGAATCTGAAATCGAAATTTCGAAACACTCTGATCAATCATAGGATGTTTACAGCCCTTTAAAATTAATTAAAGCCATTAAATATTGCCAAATGAGAGTGTATCCCCCCAATCCCCCCCCCCCCTCAACACTTTATTATTTACTTAAATTAAATTATGGTAATTATAATAATTAATAAAAATAATTATTTAAATTTTTGACTAAACTTAAATCTATCCTGTCAGTTGTTTATAACCGATACAATTCAACCCGGCAGGCAAACAATGGAATCCTGCTAATACAATTTGTGTCGTTTGAATGTAAAAGCATTTTTCGGGAATCGTTTATTATTAAAATTAAATTAGTATTTTTGCATTTATAAGAATTATAAGGAAATTTTTACTAGTCTCTCAAAAAATTTCATAAATTTAGCTATGTATAAATACATATTCATTTCTAAAATGATTTATTTAACTGCTCTAACTTTACTTTTGTTATTCTATAAATGTTTTGGAGCTGACAATAATGATGACAATTTTAATATAAGAGATCTTCAAGATCAACCAATTTATAGTCCAAATAATAGTCCAGAATGGTTTAATCCTCCGGTTTGTTATTTAAAATTATAGGCCACAAAAGGTTAATATTAACTGACATAACTCTTATTTCCGGTCAACCCGCGAATTCTACATTTTCAATTTTTAAAATCGGTTTATTGTTTTTATGCTGTGCTGGAAAAAACTATAGCCGCACTATAAAAAACTTTATAACTTATGAAGGAGTTACCCAAACAACATCTAATTTTGTTAAAAAATGTAAAAAATAGATAGGAAAATAATGGGTTTTTATAACCTATTGTTAATTTTTATTATTTAAAATTTTATAAAAATATTTTTAAAAATTATAGGAAAGCAATTATCATAACTATGGATATGGTAAATAAATTTTTAAAAATTCTAAAAATTTTTATGTAACAATTGAATAGTTTAAAATTTAACATTAAATGTTTAGATAATTTTAATCTGTGGGCACATAACCAACACTTCCTCAATCAACATCCTCCTCAACAAATCCCACAACAAATGCATAATGAAGATTATCACCCTCAAACCTCGCTTCATCAACAACCAATATACCAACCCTCACACCATTTTTATACTGAATTTCCAACAATTCCAAGTCAAGGTGAATCTTCTTCAATGCTTAATTTACAAAACAATCCAAATGAAATAGAAAACGAGAATCAAAAATACCTTTTGGTAACACAAGAAATGATTCATCAAAGAGAGGAAGGTCAGTTTAAAATTGGGTCCGAGCATTAATTTGGGGTTTTCATAATATTAAAATTTCCATTCCATATTAACATCTTTGATATACATATCATAAAAATCACCTCTTTAGAGAAAGAAAAATATAATGCTATAAAATACAAGCCTCAGGAATTAAAAAATATGGAGCAATTAATTAACAACATTAAACTGGCTTCTGGAGTTCAATTAGATAAAAGTAAAATTGATCCGGGATTTTCCTTAAATTCTGAAATGATTACAGGTAGTTTTTAAGTCTGTAATTTACAAATTTAAAATACAAACAAAATAAATATTGAAAATATTTTTTCAAAATTATGCAGCCGAAGTAGAAAGAGGCCCGAGAGAGACCGAAAATTTTGGATATCGAAAAAATTACCCGAAATTTTTTTGGATCTGGAGCCATAAATAAATATGTAAATACTAAATAACAGGTGATCACACATATTTTGTTAAAACACGCATTTACAAATGTTTCAAATACACGAGCATTCGATCAAAAAACAATTCATTTTATTGGACATGTTCGAAACGAAATAGAAATTGCAAAGGAAAAATGATTTTTGAAAATCCGCATAATTTAACAAATAATTTTAAACAAACTCAGCCACATACATGTAAAACAAATGGTTTGATAAATATTTTTGTTTATTAATTTTCAAAATAAATTCAATTCTGTGAACAAGATAACAATAGATTTGAATTTTGGACTGAACTCCCCGTCCCAGTTCCGGTTTTAGTCGACTTTTTGAATTCTTATATCTACTTTTAGTGGGGTAAAGGTAATAAAATTTTGGGCGGATCACAATAAATTTTGGAATATATTCTTTTAAAAATTTGTTTTCATTACGTATCTAAATTTTACAAATAATTTAGGTTCAGTTGAACGCGAGATGACCATTTGTGTTACTCCTGGTGTAGCACATATAAAAGAATTATCTTACTGTATTTATGTTGAATACACTTCCGGACATTTAAGACGAAAAACGGATTTTGTTGGAACACAAGAAATTGGGGCTTTAAATGATTGCAAATTACAGAAATTTAAAACTGAGGGGAATATAGAAAATATTCAATTTATTGTTGTTTGGAGTGAAAATATATTTTTTGGGAAGGACGATGTTTTGTATGAGGTTGGAAAGAAAACTAGAAAATATTTTTAATTTTAATTTTTAGAGTCGTTTCAACGTAGAAAAAGAAGAATTTGTTCCTAATGGTAAAATTACATTGGATATAAACACCGTCGGAAAAACTAAACTCAAATATGCTAAAGGGAAGGGATTAATCCCAGATATTTGATATTTTTTTTGTTTTTGTTTCAAATTTTCGGTTTACACAGGGTTTTTTGACTTCTTTGATTTTCGGGTCTCAAGCATGGATATTCATATGTAAATTTTGACCAGTAATTTTTAACACGAAAAAAATGCTGGGAAAAGTTATTATTTATGTTGAAAAAGGATTAAACGAATTCCTAATTTTTTTAATTTTCAAGGGTTTTATTTAAACTAGAGTTCGAACTCTAATTTAAATTTAAATTTTTATTTATTCTAAGCTTATTTTTTTATTATTTTATTAAATGACTTATTTAAAATTTTGGCTTGGGACATTTTTGAGAACTGTGTGGCGAGTAGGGGGACATTTCCGGGGAAGGGGGGGGGGACATTGTCGGGAGCACCAATTCCTTTAAATGTATTTATTATAAATTTGTTTCTATAATTTTCAACAAGTTTTATTTAAAATTTTGGATTATTTTCAGTATAAAATTTAGTTTAGCTGAATTAAAATCTTTTTTAATTTGTGTTAATAAATTTTCAATAGATCTATAAATCTCCAATCTCACATTTTTTGAGGGGTTTGTCCAGTGGAAGCATGCTCCTCAAAAAAGTTTTCTTTAATTCCGCAAAATATTTTGTATTTTACAGGGTTTTAAAAATTTTGGATCTAATTCATTTGCATTACACTAATCAAGAGGGATGTCAATGGACGGGATATATGAAAGGATAAGTGAGATAACGAGGATTAAGGTGAACTCCCTAATCCTGGATATCTCTCCAAATCACTGATATACTTTATAACCACCTTTAATCCCTCTAATCCTCTTATTTCCACAGATTACCCCTTACATCCCCAGATTGCGTTTACGGATTTTAAAACTAAAATTGCGGATGGCGGCTGCGGAAAATTTTTCAACTGCGGAAAGCCCGGGTAACAACTAGCAAATAAATTATTAGGAACGGTCATAAATTATTAGGAACGATCACACCACACTTTTGAGTAGAGCTCGACCCCGGGACGGGCCCGGGACCGGGTTTTCCGGGCCCGGTAGCCCGGAAACCGGGTATTTTGATAAAATCCGGTTTTTCCGGGCTTCCGGGTTTTCGAGGTTTTTAGCCCGGAAGCCCGGCCCGGGTCGCCTCTGAAGAATCCGGGCCCGGCCCGGGTCAACTTTCGAGTAAATTTTATAAAATATTCTAACTTTTTGTTCAATTCTGACTCCTTAAACACCCAAAAATTGAAAAATTTTCGCCTGCGGCGCTAATAAAACGAATTTATTATTCAAAGAACTTGTATTCCCTTGTCTTATCCTTAAAAATCATGGCTGGGCGTTAAAATATTGAGGATTGGGCATCCTAATGAAGGGATATTGAGGGATCAGAAGTAACTAAAAAAAATTTATCATGATTAATTAAGATTCAAGGTTTTTGTAGGGATTAAAATAGATTAGGGGTTTTAGTTGAGATATCGAGCATTGAGATATCGATGAATTGGGAATTAATAACGATATCGACATATCTAAGAGAATATTGACAGATTTAAGGAAATATTTTTTTATTTCGTTTCGATTAGAATTAATAAAATTTGTATTTCGACAGCCTATTCCAAATTGCGGATATGCTCTTTAGTCCTGCAAAATCCACCGATAATATTTAGATCCAAATTTATCCCCGATATCCGCCTTAATCCTACTAATCCACATTAACCCCATCAAATCACAGATTAAATAATTATAGATAGTATATCTGGATTTAGAGGACCATATCATCCTTGTAAATCGCTAATATTCTCTCCAGACCCGCCAAATCCACCAATATTTCCCTTAATCCATTAAATCCACATTAATATCTCTAAATCCTTTGAATAAACACGTATAGATGAAAGATGAAACCAAATTTTAATTATTTTCTATTCAAAATAAAAAAAATTTCAGCGAAAAACTAAAATTTGACCATTTTTAAAATTTTGAAAAAACCGGGTCCGGGCCCGGGTGTAAAAAAACCGGGTTTTCGAGTTTTCCGGGTTTTCGAGGTTTTAGCCCGGAAAACCCGGCCCGGGTCAACTTGGAAGAAAAAAACCCGGATACCGGGCCCGGCAAAGTGAAAATGTCGAGCTCTACTTTTGAGTTTATTCTTCCCTTAGTTTATAAACCAAGTATTAACCAAACATTTTTAAAAAATATTTTATGAATCTAAATTTGTTATTTGAAAAACAAAAACCAAAAATTAAAAAAATATTTTTTCTTTAATAGCATAGTTTGAAGTAGAGTTGGACAAGCCGAGACCGATACCGAGACCGATACCGAGATTCTCGGCTTTTTTCCAATATCGGTTTCGGTTTTTTCATTCTCGGTCTCGAAACCGATACCGATATTCTCGGTCCATTTCTCGGCGAGAAACGATACTGACTCAAAGACCCCAATTTTCTTGTATTTTTAATAAAACCTTTTAAGAAGTGTCCGAGAAAGTAGATAAACTTTTGAGCTTGAGCCTCCATTAGTTTATAAAACCAAGTATTAACCAAACAATATTTAAAATATATTTTATGGATCTAAAAATTTAAAAAATATTTTTTACTTTAATAGCATTGTCTAATATTTTTTCGTCCAATTCCTTCTTAGAAAAGAGAAATTTGACTTCTAGGCCATCTAAAAAATTTAAAAATATTCGCCTTTTAGTAAATGTTTTTCTATAATACCATTTAAAGTTTCGACCTAAAAACTTAGCAATTTTTATTATTTTTTAAGGGGTTTCTTGTTTTACAAATTTTTACTTCTCAAAAGCTTTAAATTTTTCACTTTCTGATATTCCAAATTTTATCTAAACTTTCTTGAATTATTCAACAATTATTTTTAATTTAAAATTTTGTAAATTAATTTAATAATTATTATTTTAAAGCAATTTTGAAATTTATAATTGATTAATTCATATGATTTACATACATCTCGTTTAAAATTAATAATTAATAAGCCAATCATAGGATGTTTATTAAATTTTAAAGGGCTGTTAATTAGAGAGTAAGAGGCCTATAAAACTTTTTAATATTTCTAAAATGTTTCTAAATGTAGAAGCGTATCAGTATTTGGTTAAAAACTAAAAAGCTTTTAAGAAGTGTAAGCAAAAGAAGGTCATCAAAAAACATCAAAAAAATCGAAAATTCGAATCTGAAATCGAAATTTCGAAACACTCTGATCAATCATAGGATGTTTACAGCCCTTTAAAATTAATTAAAGCCATTAAATATTGCCAAATGAGAGTGTATCCCCCCAATCCCCCCCCCCTCAACACTTTATTATTTACTTAAATTAAATTATGGTAATTATAATAATTAATAAAAATAATTATTTAAATTTTTGACTAAACTTAAATCTATCCTGTCAGTTGTTTATAACCGATACAATTCAACCCGGCAGGCAAACAATGGAATCCTGCTAATACAATTTGTGTCGTTTGAATGTAAAAGCATTTTTCGGGAATCGTTTATTATTAAAATTAAATTAGTATTTTTGCATTTATAAGAATTATAAGGAAATTTTTACTAGTCTCTCAAAAAATTTCATAAATTTAGCTATGTATAAATACATATTCATTTCTAAAATGATTTATTTAACTGCTCTAACTTTACTTTTGTTATTCTATAAATGTTTTGGAGCTGACAATAATGATGACAATTTTAATATAAGAGATCTTCAAGATCAACCAATTTATAGTCCAAATAATAGTCCAGAATGGTTTAATCCTCCGGTTTGTTATTTAAAATTATAGGCCACAAAAGGTTAATATTAACTGACATAACTCTTATTTCCGGTCAACCCGCGAATTCTACATTTTCAATTTTTAAAATCGGTTTATTGTTTTTATGCTGTGCTGGAAAAAACTATAGCCGCACTATAAAAAACTTTATAACTTATGAAGGAGTTACCCAAACAACATCTAATTTTGTTAAAAAATGTAAAAAATAGATAGGAAAATAATGGGTTTTTATAACCTATTGTTAATTTTTATTATTTAAAATTTTATAAAAATATTTTTAAAAATTATAGGAAAGCAATTATCATAACTATGGATATGGTAAATAAATTTTTAAAAATTCTAAAAATTTTTATGTAACAATTGAATAGTTTAAAATTTAACATTAAATGTTTAGATAATTTTAATCTGTGGGCACATAACCAACACTTCCTCAATCAACATCCTCCTCAACAAATCCCACAACAAATGCATAATGAAGATTATCACCCTCAAACCTCGCTTCATCAACAACCAATATACCAACCCTCACACCATTTTTATACTGAATTTCCAACAATTCCAAGTCAAGGTGAATCTTCTTCAATGCTTAATTTACAAAACAATCCAAATGAAATAGAAAACGAGAATCAAAAATACCTTTTGGTAACACAAGAAATGATTAATCAAAGAAAGGAAGGTCAGTTTAGAATTGGGTTCGAGCATTAATTTGGGTCTTTTCATAATATTAAAATTTCCATTCTAATTAACATCTCCAATCTACATATCATAAAAATCTCCTCTTTAGAGAAAGGAAAATATAAAGATCGAGAATACAAAGAACAGGAATTAATAAATATGAAGCAATTAATTAACAACATTCAATTTGCTTCTGGAGTTCAATTAAATTTTAGTGAATTAGATATGGGATTTTCATTAAATTCTGTAGAAATTACAGGTAGTTTTATGTCTGTAATTTTTTTACAAATTTAAGAAGACAAACAAAATAAATGACGAAAATAAAGTATTTTATGTTTTTTATATATTATAGCTACTTTTTTCAAAATTAGGCAGTCGAAGTTGAAATCTTCGTGGCCCGAGTTTCAGGGTCTCCGTCAAGTAGTTTCAGTGGAAAGAATATTTATCAAAATTAAAAAAAG